GTTGAGGCGGCGGCGGCGGCTGCTGCTGCTACTGCTGCTGCGGTTGCCTCTGCAACTTCGTTGGCTGTCTCTGCCTCGTCATCGAGCACGGTGGATGCGGAATTGCAAAAGCCCCTGCTGGAGGTTGATGAGTACTGCCTGTACAATGAAGAGGAAGACGACATCTTCAAGGATTTGATGGAGGAAGACGCCCCTGCCGGATCCGACGACAGCAGCGATGCCGAGGAAGATGGCAACTTTGAAGGCTCTGACAGCGAGGACATGGACGTGTCCGATCCCGAGTACAACGGCACCGCTGCAACCTCGGCGACCAAGACGACGCCCAAGGGTCGCGCTCGCAAGGTTGCCGGGTCGGGTGCTGCCGCCAAGCTTGCCGCAACCTCCTCCGCGTCCACTCGTCAACGAAAGCTGTCGCAATCCTCGGACAGCTCCGATGTCCCCGCTCAGGCCTCGGGATCCATCGACAAGCGTTCGCTCAAGCGCCTTCGCAACCGCGAGGCTGCCGCCCGCTGCCGAAATCGCCGCCGTCAGCTCATCGACGAACTCTCCACCCAGGTCGCCGAGCTCGTTGCTGAAAAGACCACAATGGCAGCCACCATTGCTCGCCTTGAGGCTGAGCTTGCCACCACTCGTGGCAATTGAACAGATAACGCCAATGGTCGTTTCCAACCATGAATGCCTCGCTTTCTCCTTTGGCGGGTTGTAGTACACCCGGAACTGTTGATGAACTTTACTTTTTGTTATTGTTGTTGTCGTTGTTGTTGTTGTTGTTGTTGTTTCGATATTCCCCCCCCCCATTTATCGCCGATGCTGTTATTCATCCTGAGAGTGTCCTTTATTGTTTGATTGTTTTCGCTTGAGTGTGTTTTGTCGCGCCTGGATGCGTGAAACCCTTTCGTCGACTGTTATTGTAAAGAACACTATTTTTTTTTCAACCCGAACACTGCTGTTTCTATGCTGTAGATTGATCTCGGTGGCAAAAACAACTGGCGCAACAGCAAATGGAACTGCTAAAGAAGAGAAACAGTGTGCTTGAATGTATTGGTTATTCAGCACACCCGTTCAATACAAGTCAAAAACAACGAGAAAACTTAACAATCCACAGTCACCAGCACGCAGCACGCAGAAATGCATCACCAATCAGCCTCTTCCGTGCCCTGCCGTGCCTCCATCTTGGTTCGACGACGATCGCGGTTTTTAGCATCATTCTTGGAATCCTTGACTCGCACTTCGCTGGCGGCCTTCTTGTGAAGCTGTCGCTTGACGCGGGCGCGAATTTGATCGGGATCCACAGAAAGCGTGCTGGAGGCTGTGCTTGGTGCTCGCCCAGCACGACCAGGGGCTGTCGTGGGAGCGCCGTTTCGGAAGGGTTTGAAATTCTTGTTGCCATTTTCAGGCAGCTGCTCGTCCTCTTGCGCGACCAGGCTTTGTGGCGCGCCGGTAGCAGCAACGGGTTCGACTTGCTGCGGAGCGGCTGCAGGGTCTGTTGCATCGGCAGATGCTGGCTCGCTGCTGCTGCTGCTGCTGCTGGCGGCGGCCGCGGCCAAAGTAGCGGCTGCCATGGCAGCGACAACATCTGCGGGCAGCTCTGCATCTGGGAGCGGCATGGCCAGAATCGGCTCTCCCTCTGCATCGTGCAACATGGACAGGCTGACCATGTCCTTGCTGATGCTGTTCAGCCACTGCTTCGACAGGTGGAGGGAGTGTGCGGGGACATTGGCATTATTCGCCGCAGCATTGGCATCCGTGAGACTGATGGTCACGCGCTCGACTGGAGCAGCACTGCTTGAGGTGGCGGCAGCAGCAGCAGCAGCAGCAGCAGCAGCAGAGGAGGAGGAAGAGGCCGTTCGTGTCTTGTCGGCGCTCGCTTCATCATCCTCATCGTCGTCCTCATCACTGGCGCTTCCCAATTGAGTGGGATCGAGCTCTTCGTCGTCATCATCATCGTCGTCGTCATCTTGGTGGTCATCGTCTCCAGATGGAGCAGCGGCGCGAGCGGCAAACGCTTGCTGCAGCAGCTCGTCATCAGCGCGGGAAAACCCACTAGCAGACAAATCAATGTCCAGGTTTACGGCGCGAGTGGTGTGGTCCCGGAAGCGAGGATAGGCCGCCTCGTAGTGGAACTTGCGAGCGAAAAACTCGCGAATGCAAGTCACGTCTCGGTCAAAGTAGCTGAAAGGAGCGAGCAAGCACAAAACACACAAAGACAAAAAAAAAAATAGCCAAAATGAGAGGAACAAATTCAGGGCAGAAAGCACAGCTCACGTTCAACAGGCACGTACTATTCGGCATTCTCGTGTGATGTTGAAACCATTTGGGGGAAATCAATCAGCGTCACTCGCTGCTCGTCGTCAATGAGCAAATTGAACTCGTTAAAGTCGCCGTGAATGAGGCCGTACGAGGCTAATCGCACAATGAGATTCATCAAGTCATTGTACAAGCGAGGCACGTCGCCCACCTCTTGAACTTGGGTGCTGAAGGGTTGAGAATACAAGTGGGAGAAGGTGAGCGCAAAAAAAAAAAAAATGGTCCAAACTTTGGACTGAATTGTGAAATGAAGAGAGAAGCCACGTACAGAGGATAGGCATTCACGAGCTGCATGATGACGCAGTGTCGGTTAAAGTCAATGGGCTTGGGCACGGGAAAGTCGTGGTCGTACAACGCCTTCATGTAGGCAAACTCTTTGGTCGCTGCGAGTCGCGAGAGGTAGAGCCAAGACGCCGACGTCGCTTTGCCAAGATAGTCGCGCTTTTCCTTGACCTTACGGAAAGAGACTCGACCCAATCTGCAAGAAGCAAAAAGGTGGTTGTTAGCGTCGAAGGAACGGAGGATGATGAGAACAAAAAAAGTGTCTGCAACATTTACCGTTGAAGTTTGAGCGCCATCTGCTCGTCAGCCTCATTGGCCACAATGTAAATGTCTGTTCGTGTGTAAGCAATGCATCCAAGTCAGCCAGCTAGCGGTGGAGGGGACGTCGTTCAACAATAATGGTTTCCTGTACCAGATTCTTTGCCGACACCGATTTGGTTGCCCACGGAGCTCAGGCTGTTGCGATTGGCCATGGTCTTGAGCGCCAGGTAGTCGTATCCTGGGTATGTCAGACGATATCCGCTGTCTACAGTGGTGGTGGTGGGGGGGGGAGGAAATGTGAGTTTTGTGCGCTTCCATGTGGACAAAAGTTACGCAAACAGCTCAGCGAACGACGCCGACCAAACCGTACATTTGGAGTTGTCGTAGGCGACGAGCTTGTGGCGCGTGAGTTCGATGAGCAGCTTGCGAGCGCCGCCGTGCTTGAGGCCTGCAATGTGGGAGATGAGGGTCGTCGGGACCACCTCGTGGTTCTTGGAGCCCATCTCGAGCGCAGTCAGCACGCGAAACTCGTCCCGGCTCAGGTAGCGCAGCTTTTGCACGTTGAGCTTGCCCATGTTTTTTGTGCGGGTATTCAGGAAGAGCAAATCAAAGAAAATGTGCAGAGGGGGAAACGAGTGGAGAAGCTAAAAGAAAACGGAGAAACAAAAGAAGACTGACTGGAATTGCATTAGGATTGGCCCGGTCAAAGCTCCGAGCGGTTTCTGCATTCGCATTTGCACTTGTTTTCAGGTGTTTTATGGATGTATGTGTTGCATTCGTATTTGTCTCTCACTCTGGACGATGACAACGAATGACAGAATGAGATCATTCTTGTTTTTGTTTTTTCCCTGTCCTATCAAATCCCATTGTGAACATGTCTGCTCCATCGACATCCGGTGTGTGGTCGTTGTCTGTCCCATCATCAATGCGCGGGTGTTGTTACTACTGCTTTTCCACACACACCCAAACCCCACCTCCTTCTCCTCCCCTTTGCTTCTTCCAAATGGCCAGCGAGTGTGATCTCAATGCAAAACACAGCAAAATCCATTTCCTCGTGTTTTTGCTCTTTTTTTTTTTTTTTTTTGTATTTGATTTTTCGTTTCAAAAGCATTTCTCGTTTTCGTTCTCCGTCTTGTCGGTTCGCCTACGACAGACACTCAGTAGACTCCCCTTTGTTTGCCTTTGTGCACTGGCAGAGTGACTGTGTTGGAAGCCCCCTCGCTTTTGCGACGGACATGACGTAATGTCGATCAAACCAAAAAGACACACAAAAAACCAAAAAACAAAAAGATCTCGACTTCTCCCAGCCATTGTCTCGCGCAGTGACCTTGTTCTGACTGTTTGGTGATGTGTGGATGTGTGTCTGTGTCATGATTGACATTGCAAACAACAACAGCAGCAGCAGCAGCAGCCCCGGCTGAAGAGAAGGTCTTCTACACGTCCGAGCGCGCTGGCAGCGACGAGTCCGGCGACGGCTCTGAGGCAAAGCCCTTCAAGACGGTCATGCAGGCCCTGCGTGCAGGTGGCCCGGATGCCAACGTCGTCATCTTCCTCGACGGGCAGGCCGCAGACGGCCCCCGCTGGGACAAGCTGTCGGACTCGCAACTCAAGAAGCAAAAGAAGAACTTTGCCACCGAGCTCAAGAAGGCCGACGCCCGCGCCAAGAAGGACGTACGTCGAAATCTCGTTGTGTCTGTGCTGGTCTGCGTTGTGTGTGACGAAGCCGTGTGGGCTGTCCATGCTCGCTCAACAACGGGTGTCGTGACATAACTGAAAGCTCATGCGATGTCATTTGCGGTTCTTTGTTTGGGGTTTTTTGTGTAGGCCGAAGACGCCGAGAAGCGTGAGAAGGCCTTGGAGGAGGCCAGCAAGATCAAGATCACCCAGAACAAGGATCTTCCTGCTGCCAAAACCGTGAGTTGTCAGATGGAATGTCGGAGGCCTGGCAGAACTGTGCAATGTTCTTGTCACTGACTTTTGTATTCATCATCATCACCCCACTCCCACACACACCCCAGATCAAGCTCCGTGACACTGTTGCCCACCGTGGCACCCGTGTCAAGGTCCAGGGCTGGCTGCACAACCTGCGCCGCCAGGGCAAGGACATGATGTTCCTCGTTCTGCGCGACGGCACTGGCTACCTCCAATGCCTGCTTACCGGTGACATGGTGAGTCATGCACGGCTGCTGTGTGTGTGTTTTTTGTTTGTACTGGTGGTGTTTCTCGGGGTGCTGATGAATTTTGCGCTCGGAACAGTGCCGCACGATCGAAGCTGTCAAGCTTGAAACCGAGTCCACTGTCTCTGTCTTTGGTATTATTAAGGAGCTTCCTGAGGGCAAGACGGTATGTCGTCGTTGTTTTGCTTGACCACACTCTGGTGCGCTGTTTGCTTTTCGACTCATGATTGTGTCGGGTTTTTTTTTTTTTTCCCTGTTTTTTGTTTTTTCTTCTTCTTCTTCTTCTTCTTTTTCTTTCGGTCTTGTTTGCCATCCTCTCCAACGCAAACTCGCAGGCCCCGGACGGCCACGAACTCGCCGCCGACTACTGGGAACTCATGGGCACTGCCCCTGCTGGTGGCCTCGACCACGCCTTCAACAAGGAGTCGGATCCCGACGTGCTGTTCGACAACCGCCACCTTGTGCTGCGCACCGACACGTACTCCAAGATCCTCAAGCTGCGATCGGTCGTCACCCAGGCCTTCCGCGAGCACTTTTTCAACCGCGGCTACTTTGAGGTCACCCCTCCGACCCTGGTCCAGACCATGTGCGAGGGCGGCTCGACCCTGTTCAAGCTCGACTACTTTGGCAAGGAGGCGTACTTGACGCAGTCGTCGCAGCTCTACCTCGAGACGGCCATTCCCGCTGTTGGTGACGTCTTTTGCATTGCGCAGTCGTACCGCGCTGAAAAGTCGCGCACTCGTCGCCACCTGACCGAGTACACGCACATTGAGGCCGAGTGCCCCTTCCTCGACTTTGAGACGCTTCTCCACAAGCTGGAAGACCTTGTTTGCGACGTTGTGGAGCGCGTGCTTGCCTCCCCGTACGCTGGTCTGCTCAAGGAGCTCAACCCCAACTTTAAGGCCCCCAAGCGCCCCTTCCGCCGCATGGAGTACAAGGATGCCATCGTTTGGCTCAAGGAGAACGACGTCCGAAAGCCCGACGGCACCTTCTACGAGTTTGGCGAGGACATTCCGGAAGCCCCCGAGCGCGCCATGACGGACAAGATTGGCGAGCCCATCCTGCTCATGCGATTCCCCCGCGAAATCAAGGCCTTCTACATGCAGCGCGATGCTGGGGACCAGCGTCTCACCGAGTCCGTTGACATGCTCATGCCCGGCGTCGGCGAGATTGTCGGTGGATCCATGCGTATCTGGAACCTCGAGGAGCTCGAGGCCGCGTACCGTCGGGAGGAGATTGACCCCGCAGAGTACTACTGGTACATTGACCAGCGCCGATACGGCACGTGCCCGCACGGTGGCTACGGTCTTGGTCTTGATCGCTTCCTCACCTGGATGTTCAACCGAGACCACATTCGCGATGTCTGCTTCTATCCCCGCAACATTGATCGCTGCAAGCCTTAAGCGTGAGGCATTCGGACTTGGTTGAGTGTGGCGCATGGCTTCTTTTTTTTTTTTTGGTTGAATGTCAAAGAGAAAGTTTGCCAAAGGTTTCAATTGTTCAGCTTTGTCATTCATTGCGTGATGGGTGCATTATGAAGGTAGTTGGTTGCATGAGAACTGGAAAGGATTGAATTGTGCGGAAGGCAAGTTTTACATCCATCATTAATCCTCCTCTTCGAAGAACATGGCAACCAGCTTGGGGTCTTGGCACTGGGCGTCGTTGAGGCGTCGCTTCTGTGCATCATTTTACAATTGGTTGTTGTTTTGGGTGAGAAATTGAGTTTATGAGCGCATATTCGAGTACGAATTTTGGTGCTGAACTTACAGTGTCAACTTCGAGCAACGTAGGAACGCACGCCACACGGAGATCGGCAGCCTTGCGGAAGACGTTGTTGCTGTCCTTCCATCTGTAGAATGTTCACAGGTACAGAAACACTCGAGAGTCAGTGACGTACCAGCAGCAGCAGCCTCAGACAACGCGGTTCAAAGGTCACGGACTCGGCACGCTCGCCGACAGTGCAGTAGATCAGAGTGGCATCGGTCTGCTTGCCAAACTCCTTCATGATGTGCGGCTCGGCTGTGGTTGAGAACGAGCGCACAGAATTGGACAGAGGGTAATAACGCAGGAGGATGTGAGTGTGAAAGGTGAAAACCATCAACGGAGGTTTTTTTTGGAAGTGTATGGAGTTGCATTACAGGCGACGCAGTCCGGGCACCAGCTGTTTCCAGTGGCGGGATCCTTGGAGCCACAGAACAGGGCAAAGAGGCGGCCGGCATTGGCGGCTTTGGCGGTTTCGGCAGCAGCACGGAATTGGTCCAAACCAGCGACACGAACAATCGACATTGTGAAGTTGTAGAGGAAGGAGTGCGTTGCATTCATTCAGTAGGGTTGTTTCTAAGGTTGGGAATTGTTGGTGATTGTTGAGTTTGTGTTAGTTCGGTTGGAAACACGAGACTATGGCAGTGCGAGAACGTGCGACGGAATGACTCGAGGTATTGAATTTTGGTTTTCAAGCCTCAGGTTTCGTATCGATGTACTACCTGCATGCACCCGGGTGTGCCGTCGCCGCTTGGTGATTTCGAGTAGACAAATTGTTTTAGTTGCCCATTGCGTAGGACATGCCTGGAAATATAGGTTGATTGTGCTCGGTTTGTCCGATAAAAAGAGTGCGATCGTTTGCTCCAATGTATTGAGTCGTGGAGGTCTCTGTTGGGCTTCAGCTCTTGTGAATAAATTAAAATGCATGATATTGATCAGAGTGTGGTGACGGTGGTTTGCGTTTTGCACGTTCTGTGCTCGACGCTATGAGTTTGGTGCTTAATAACGAGCCGATTCCACCAGTTTCAAGAGGACCATTCGCTTTCATTGTTTGGCTCAAACTTCACTTTTTATTCCGACCTCCTTGTGAACAGGAGCCGTCCCCATTCATTCCCAACATATACAGTAGATGAAAATATACATGCACTGCCCGCGTGACGACAGTCAGGCTCACACAACACAGAGAATTGGGCACTTTTCGTTTGAGCGGCACTCCAAACACTCGTTTTCTGCACAAACACTGCTACCAAACACAATCCAATGCTCAACAATCAATGGATAAAAACTAGCTTTTGTAATGTGACACCGAAAGCGACAAACCAAACCAAACAAAAAGGCAATTGAAAAAAAAAAGCGACCACCTGGCAAAACCGGCAGAAAACACCGCATGCATTATCAACATCAACGGGGTGAACAAGCGAATGAACAACAGTACAGTAGAGCAACCTCAATCACACACGGGCGAGGCTGATATCATGCGATAGAGCGGAAGCTGAGCTGGATTTTTTTTTTTTTTTTTTTTAGGTTTTTGGGTTGGTTGCATCTTCCACAACCTTATTCGGTCTTGTTGGCGTTCTGGACAGCAGAGCTGGCAGCGCTGGTGGCAGCGCCGCGAACCTTGCTGATGCCGTGGTCAATGTCGGCCTGGTTCTGGAGGAGGAAGCGACGAATGACGTTCTGGTAGAGCTGGGCAGCGCCGTTCAGGGTGGGGAGCATGAGGTAGACGAGGAAGACAAACTTCATGAGGTAGTAGAAGGGCAGCCAGTGGAGGATGATGTCGCTGAAGAACTCGAGCAGGCTGAAGAAGGCGAACACGACCCAGTAGGTCAGCCACTGCGTGTCATCGTCCTTGTTTGTCGACTCGATGGCCTTGAAGCTGTGAATTGCGATGAGTGTGTTCGCAAAGAGCACAAAGATTAGTTTGGCAAGGTGATTGTTGCATGACAAATGAACACCAAGCAAACATGGGGACTCACGAGGCGTATGCCGGGTAGACAAAGCCGACAATGTTGCAGACAAGCTGAGCGCCGAGGCCAGCCGAGAGCGACAGGAGGATGAGAAGGAAGCCACCTGAAGAGCAACATCAAAACCAAACGAGAGCAATGCGACGTAGCCAAAAAAATCAGAATCGAGTGTCCCAGTTATTTAAGTTGTCGAAACGGCCAAATGCGTCAGTTTGAGAGAGTGCGTTTTTGTTTTGTTTTTGTTTTGTTTTTTCATTGAGTGTGTATTTCGTCATTGACCCGCGTCTTCTTTTTCTGTGATGCTTCAACCCACAACAGCAATAACAACAACAACAAGGCTTCCAACTTGCACTCTACACTTCAGCAACAGTGTTTACAAATGTATGTGTGTTTTAGTTGTTTGGTTGTTTCATTTTTTTTTCGAGGTATGTTTTTTTTTTTTTTTTTTTTTTTGCATTTTTTCAATTTGTTTCATTTTTTTCTCCTTATTAAATGTTTTTTTTTTTTCCAGCCCGCTTTTTTTTTTTTTCATTCTTGACGTCCGTCGAACGTCAGCGACGTGAACAAGTCGAATGCAACCAACCTGCATTCACAAACGCCATCCACCGTTTCGCCACAGCACCAACGATTGCCACAAACGGTATGGTTTGGAAAAAACGAGCAAAAAAAGCCCAAAAAATAAATAAAAACCGTTCTTGGCGTCAGATTGGCTTGCTGGGAGCCGGACAACGTTCCCCCCACTGACGCTCGGCGTTCCCTGTCTCTGCACCAAGAGCGTACTGTTGCTGCTCCCCCCGTGCAATGCGTTCGACCGCAGACATCGAGAGACACAACAAAAGAAGAAAACAGGAAAAAAAAAAGAGAAAAATGCGTTTTTTTTTTTTTTTTTTTTTTTTGGTTTGCTGAAGTGGCTCGTTCAGCCATGTCTCAAAGACATTCGCACGTCGTTCCATCGCTGTCCATGCAAGGAGACTCTGCGCTTCATCTGGAAATCACCCCGTTTCCACCTCCCTGCTCGCGAAATGACACTGTACCGCTGGCTCTTTTACAAGGCGCTTTTTTTTTTCTTGTTTTTTTTTTTATCCCGTTTTTTCACAGCTTCCTCTTCCTTCCTTTCCCACCCTCGCTTTGAGCTCTGATGCAACGTCAGCTGTCGAATGGAAAAAACAAGGGACGTACCGATGGCAAGGTAGGCCTTGGGCACCTTGGTCTGGTCCTGGAGGCGGATCATGAAGGGATACTTGTTGAGCTCAGCATCGAGCTTGTCGAGGTACAGCTTGACTTGATCGCCCATCGTGTAGTGGTTTTGGTTGTGTTGAAAAAAAACGACTGACTCTTCATTCAATGCATTTCACTCCGTACTTGATAGTCAAAACGACAAAGGTAACAACTACAGTAATTTTATTGGCAATTGGAGGCGCTCCACCGAAAACAAGCAACAGTGCAAACGTCTTTTTTTTTTGAGTGGAGATGGGGCGGAGGGAAGGTCAGAGACTGGAATCGCTGGCGGGCTTCGCTCGGGTGCCCTGCCCGACCTGAGCTGTTTCTGGCGGAAATTCCAAAAGGGTATCCTTATAATATCGTGTAAACTCGATTGCGCTTGAAAAAACGGCGCTCCGAGCACTTGGCGTGGCCTGAAGCTCAAACAAGCGATTTGCCCTGACGAGTAGACACGAGCCATCACCTCGCGGATGGTATTTTCGGATTTCCCATGCAAATTTAATGTGGGTTACAATCGTTCGTCGGTCATAAAAGTCTCAAGTGGAAGTCACCAGGCTGAAACTCGAATTTTTTCGAACTTGGAAAAATTTTCCTTCCAACCCATCCCATTTCGACAAAGCATGTACAAACCTCCACTTTCGGCTGTACTTTGTGTTTTTACAATGTCGGCAATATACTGATAGTGGTGAAGCGGGATAAAGTCGACGGGAAGATGGTCATTTGCGACCCCTCTAAATCGGTGTTTTTGAGGGGTGGTTTGCACTTCACCCATACAGGAGGATATAATCGACGGTCTGATGATGGCAAATCATCTAACCCGTCTCCAATATGCGGGAAAGCGTGTCGGTGAAAAAATAATTATGATTGGAGCCGAGATCGGCACAGTCGGCTTTTGGGGCCAGGTTGACATATTTTGGCCAAGACTGCTGCAAAGCTGGCCGAACACCTGGAATTTGCTCTTTCCTTACTATGCAACTGTGCTCGTGTGGTGGGAGGAGGATTTTAGGGTGTACATGGCGTGAACGGCGAGCTGTCAGGTTTTCGGTGTCGTTTCGGCCGGGTTGCACTTGACCTCGTATCTCCAACTCATCTTGTTGTTACATCTCCCTCTTCTGGAATACGGTTTTCCACACGTAATTCCATGTCTGGAGGCTTTGGATGGTGGTAAAAACGAGCTCAATATCGCTGGGCGGGTTTGTCGCGATTTCAGGTGAACAAAAGGCGTTCCTGGGTTTCTGACCGAAAGCGAGGTCTCCCGGCCGTCCTAGAGCTTCAGTAGTATATTCATGCATACCAAACGTCGGAAACATGGTTGAAAACGGATGGCATCGGGGCTACGACCCCAGAAGTACATCATGGTCGTTTTGTTGAATTCTCGTCCAGCCCATGAATACGCCCTTCCTGCGGCTCCTCACCTGGTTCCATCGCCGCCCGCAGGCGATTCTAGTGTGCGCTGGTTCCATATAGCTGTGGCTTGAATGGTGCAACCTCTAGTGGACCCTGAGTACGGAAATTGGTTCACAGTCAAATCGTGGCACTTTGCCAACAGGTAACAGAACACAGCGTTTCGGAGCCCTGAAGGCCCTTACATTCGCTTTATCACCAGATTCCATGTTTTAATGTTGTCTTACGCCAAAATATAGCATGCTATGACATGATCTTTGACCAGTTGGGTGATTCGGGCCTCCGAGCCCGTTTGGGCGGAAAATCCACCGAATATCGGAGCGCATGGCCTCTGAGGACCTTCCATGGCGATTCCTCTGCTGGAGCAAGTAGTTCTATGTTCGTAACACCTGTGGCTAGCGCGGCGCCGCGATCCCGTTGGTCTAGATGGAGAAGCGCGCGTGAGACGCCGCTGGAGCACCGATTTGAGCTGGATTCCATACACTGCCTACTTTCGGGGCCACCATCGTAGATTGTTCACTCTCGCTCGGGATTCCTGGTTTAATATGTGTTGTACTCTGTTTGCCAAAGTTTCAAAGGATTGACAGTCTTGTATCGTGAGATCGGTGGGTTGGGAGCACTTTGCGCCGGTTCCGGACGACGGCCTCCCACCGAGTCCCTTGACCTACCACCTGCCCTTCCTTTGCGCTTTCTAGCAGCTGACTGGGTTTTATCTTTGATTTATGACGCTGGTAGGTAAAGTAGGCCGTGCATTACGAAATCGCCACCGGCTGGCTGATTTTCAGGGGGTGGTTGGCTCTGTGTTGGACAGTATCTATACCGCTCTTACTTTTCCAATTGTTAGCCATCTCAATGTTTTGCTCAAATCCAAAGTTTGAGCCCAAAATCTCACTCCTGCTGCTCAAGCCAGGCCTCCCAAAGACGCGGTGTCGCGAACATCACGTCCTTGAATCCCGAAAATTTTGCTTAAAATTACTTCTATTGTATATGTGTGATTGTTTTCTGCAGTTGTGGTGAATCCAAGTAGACCCCATGTCGAGAGCCGGGTCGACTTTCGGCCAATGTGAATTCAGCAAAATCAGCATAATTGGGGGAATCCGGCACTTCCATGGTTTTATTGGTCTAAACATGTTCATTAGTGTCTATAAACATAGTCACATCGAAAAAGCGCCGAAAAGTGGGGTGGAGGGGGGACTTGAGGTCGAGGTCGAACGTAATGCAAATGACTGGGGCAAAAATCCCCAAAAATGACCACCATGCCCAACCTACTTTCCATCGATATTTTTACATTGTTAGATAGAACAAACTTTGGCTGATCCGAATCTTGAAAAATCGGCTCGCAAGGTCCAAACCCCGAAGTGCAGTAAAGGCGCAAAGTTCGCTTTTTGCTTCGGTTCGGTTCTGGGGAAAAAATTCTACGTCTCTCTACTCAGTCCTACCGTCCCGCCAGTTAGTACATTCGACTCGATTTGGTACTGACTACACGTTTCTGGTGGTGCGAAGGCGCGCGGACGCAATGGACCCCAATGGCGGCATTGGGTGGTCGGGGGCCTGGCCTGGCCGTACTATTGGTGCCCCGCCCTTTCTACGTTGTATGCTACTAGTGCTAAGTATGAACTATCTATTGCTACAGTAAGAACGGTGCAGCTCGCTCGGGAGGCCCGCTATCGGGCTCTGAAGATTGACGCATTTGGGCTTTTGGGCCCGCCGCCTCGCTGCTGCCTGCCCGGTACCCGCGGCTCCACACTACAGTGATGTTGTACAAGTGTGTTGTGCATTAAAACAGTGCCAGGCGGCCGATCGGCGGACCTTTGGGGTGGAGGCACCCAGCGTCGGTGCCACCAACCAAAGTCACACCAACCAGTCGACCATGACATGTCTTCCCGCCCCAGTGACACTTGCACAACATCATTATAGCATGTTGCCACACGTACCAAGCAGGCAGTCCGCGGCAGGGCTCGAGGGGACCACGAAAGGCCGCTGGGGCACTGGAGTTCCTTGGAGTCTTGGAAGAGCCGGCTTCCCATTGACTTACCTTGGGGTGGGAACTGGTGACTTACCTGAAGGTGGCTCTGTTTCTTGATGATAGCATCGGTGGAGGGTCGCGGACGCCTGTGGAACCATCACCAACATGTGGGGGAAGAAAGTGAGAAAAAAAGTCATTGTTTCGTTCAGCACAGCGTACAGTCTAGGCC